GTTGTATTTTTAAAAATTTAATAAATATTCATTATTGGTGAAAATGTCATAAAATTTCAATAAAATTTTAAAATCAGAAAACTTTGATTTATTACAAGAACAAGTAATCAGCTCTTGAGGCTCTTCGACTTTGGCATTCTAATCTTAACTCATTAATATTTGATTAAGATTTCTAGAAGTTTTAGAATTAATGACTAATAAATGTTTAACATACGGTAGTTGAATAATAATCAGATTACAGAATGTGATTTTTATGCTATTCAGCAAAAATTTTCTTATATAACATTGCACTAATTAATAATACTAATAATATTACTATTCCATGCAATGTGATACTTTAAACGACTGAAAAGCGAAATTTGACTACGATTAAGAAGAGAATAACTTCTGATCGTTGTACTTTTTCTAAGATATACGCTACTTTCGAAAGACTACAAAAGCATTTAGATGAAAATAACATGTCTGAATCTACTATTTTAAGTAATACGTCCTTTTGAAAGTGAAATATTAAGCAAGAAACAGAAGAAAATAATGAAGCGCCAGAATTTCGATTAAAATTCTTGTTATAAATACTTTAAATCGTTTAGGATTTCAGTTCCTTTTAATCTTGCTTTAACAAATTATTGAATCGAAAAGAGTCAAGTGTCACACAAAAATTATATCGATATAACTTGTCTGTCCTAACATAAATAATAACGTACTTAACTTTTGGAATAGCTGAAAACGAAATCCGCACCACAAAAAGAAAGAACCAAAAGCAGACAATAATGCGAAACTACTCAGTATATTTCTCCAACATCATAAAAATTAAAAAAAACACATATCCGTACGCGATACGGTCCTGTATATTGTTCCAAATTTAAAAGTAAAATGTGATGAGCAGAATCAGCTCATAAAAAATTCCTTAAAAAAACAAAAAAACACTTCTTGCTCTTTAATTTTTAGTTTAAACAAAAATTCTGTTCAAACCAAAACTAGTAAAATTTCTCTTGCAAAAAGCAACATCCAGTCATGATTTTGACGCTTTTATATTTGCCTGTACCTACAATATATCTGCTACGCAAATTGACCATTAAAAATTCAGTAATAACTTCAGTAACAACTTTATTTTCAATTATATTAAAAACTATTTTATTAAACTATTAAAATAATATCAGAACAAATATAAAAATACAAGGATAACATACCACATAACAAAAAAAAAAAAAATAAAGAAAAAAAAATTTAATTCATTTTCTTTATTTTATTATAGCATGTTGACCACTTTTAGAAAAGTAACGACCCTTTTTATAGAACCTATAACACTTGTTTAAGTAATAAAGCCCACTATCAATTTGAATAATAATAATTTAGTACGTACTTCCACTTATGTATAATTTACAAAAAAGGGTCTTCTTAGCACTTTTCCAAAAAATTTTTGAAAAAAAGTGCTTATTAGTTTCACTCTGTCCGTCTGTTCGTGTGTCTGTTTACAAAACTTCTACACCCTTGAAGATAGAAAGCCTTTTACTGGAAACTTATTTATGTAGAAGAAAATTTTTACGTATCTCGCCCCCCCCCCTCTAGAAGTTATAACCCCCCAAAACCATAAAAATTCCATTTTTTAACTATTTATTCCAGTGAAATCATAAGCATTTTTCAAATTTTGCAAACGCAGAAAGCCAGGGCCTGCTTCTCGTATCGTGGCATATTATAGTCAAACTTGCGTTTTTTTTTCAAATTTTTGATGTCGTTTTTCTTCTAGACCCCAGGTTGTAGGAACCTGAAATTTCAGCAGCTTTTAGACACTAATAAATACTTTATTTTGTTAGAAGAATTTTTTTTTCCATCTCCACCCTCTCTCAAGTTATCGCCTCTTGTAAATTTGTAAAATTTGAATTTTTCACGCAAGTTTTTTCAAATTTCTATAAACGCAAAAAGCTAACGGTAAATTCCATGACATTAAACACTATTAAAAATCGAGCATTATGTTAACCCCACTTTATATTAATTTTTTCTTTATTTCAAAGACTGCATAAATTGTTCATCCTAAATATATGCAATCCTAGGAATACTTCGTTTATGAATGAAAATAATTTTAATAGTGCGGTAGGTGTAATAAAAGCAATATTTTCATTTGTTGAAGGGAAAAGTGCTCCAATATAAACCATTGGTTTGACCCAACTTTATTAAACTTTACAAATTAGTTGAATCAGTTCATTGCTTTTTGCTGTTTTATAATAGGCGTACAAACTAATTGAAATGTGAAAAACACAAATATAAAGGAAAAAATACGCTATAAAATTTTTATCAAACTTTAGTGTGAAAAAATGCTTTATTATCTAACAAAAAAAACATTCACAAATAATTCCGAAAAGTAAATCCTTATTTAAAGATAAAATAAAATATTCTATCTTTTAAAGCTCTTTAAATATAGAATAAATCCAAAATATATAATTGCTAACACCTTTGGCAATTAAAAAAATCATTTCATATTTTTTCATAGCTTTTCAAAAATTCGTAAAAATTTAATACGAAAATGTTAACGGTTATGTTATAAATGTCATAGAAAACTTTCATAGTTTTAATATACTAAAGAGCAACAAGTAAATTTTTTGCATAACCTAGACTAAATTATAAAGAATTGAAATATGAATTTATTGATATTAAGAGTTTTCGAATTCAAGCAACAAAATTTTCAGCGCTTTTCAAATAAATTTGACCGTTTGCGTGTCTGTTTACAAAAGTTCTACACCTAGAAAGGTAAAATTTTATACAAATAGAGGTTTACTAAAAACTTATTTCTTTAAAAGAAAATTTTATCTATCTATCTCAACCTCTAATTTCAAAGTGCTTCTTCTATAGCAAAAAAATATAGTTGAACATTGAAATGGCAAATTGCATTTCAAATTAACCATTATCTAAAAATCGTGCTAGCGTTCCCAAATGTTTGTTGTCGTTTTCAGCACTTTTCCAAAAAATTTTTTAAAAAAAGTGCTTATTAGTTTCATTTTGTCCGTCTGTCCGTGTATCTGTTTACAAAACCTCTACACCCTTGAAGATAGAAAGCTGAAATTTTACATGTACAAATTTTACATCTTTACTAGAAACTTATTTTCGTAGAACAAAATTTTTACCTATCTCCCCCCCTCTAAAAGTTATACCCCCCCAAAACCCCTTTTTAACTATTTGTTGCAATGAAACCATAAGCATTTTTCAAATTTTGCAAACGCAAAAAGGCAGTGGGTTGCTTCCCCTAGCGCGGTATACTATAGTTAAACTTTAGGAAAACAAAATGCCCGTTCAAATTTACCGTTATCTGAAGTGCTTTTTTTCCAAATTTTTGATTTCGTTTTTCTTCTAAACCCCAGCCTGTAGAAGCTTGATCATCTTACGTAGCTATCATAATCATACCAAATCCGAGACCTATAATTGCTTTTTATCAAACTTAATTAATTCAATTTAATTACAAAACAACTGAAAGAAAAGTTAATTTTCTTTCTCTATACAAAAAATTATTCGAACAATAATGTTTATCTCTACTTTCTAATTTTCTTTATTAAGCTAAACAATGCCTTATACATTTTTCTTAGCAATTTCATTATTGACAAACTCTCGTTATACCATATTCAGCATCCGTAGGTAATTATATGGCTTGTAAAAAGACTAGGAAGCCAATTTTTTTACTTTAGGTCATATTTTCTTTGAACATTTTTAAATTATTTTACGAGTTATTAATATTACGAGAATACGACTTAAAAAATTTCGTATTATTCTATATATAATTAGCAATTATACAGTCGAACATTAAAATTAAATATAAATGTTTTATGCTCCTCTCATTTTTTATTAGATATCAAATTGCTCACTAGATTGCTTACCGGTGGCCTAAATAATATGAGTTCACATTTACTGAAATTAAGTATAGGTAAATCAATATGAATATTTGAGAATCATCTAATAACTTCTGTAATCTTGTCTTAATACTTAATGTAAAAAATTTACTATTATACATTAATAAATAACAAATAACTTTTAAAACCTATATAGCTACAAAAATATCTATTTATTATAAAAAAATATAAACGATTAATTCTAATTTAATCTTATAAAATTAAAATAATTTTTAATATAAAAGATTATAAAAATTTGCAAAGTTTTGGTTACGTGTGCTCTAAATAAAATTGAAAAAGTATTAAAAACTAATATAAAATGTAAAAATTGTAAAAGTAAATCACCTTCACCAAAAATATGTACATATATTATGTTTAAAAAAGTTCACTTTGTTTTCTTCTACAACATAAATGAAAAGTTAAAATCGTTATTATAATAACCAACATTGCAACTGGTATTAAAAATGCGACACTATGCAGTGGATTATAATGATAATTTTCATAACAGCCAAAATTTTTACTTTCTATTAAAAAACCACCATCTTCTTCAAAACAATTAAAATCCACATCCGACTTAGCAAACTTGTCAAAATCATCACGCTTTATAATTCTAATTGAGATGTACAGTGATGGACAAGCATGAAAATTATAATAACCTGAACACAAATCTTTAACATTAATGTCAAATATTTCTGATCTGTTAACAATATTGCATAAAATACTTGTAGTACTAGTATTCGAATCCAATAATTTCGAACTTTGTAAAAATCTTGAAGTACAAACATTTAATGTTGTTAAATTTAAAGCCATTATGGTTAATTTTCGAGAGTTCTCTAATTTATAAAAATATCTTGATGCAATTCTGTATTGATAGAAATTATTAGATTTTCCACACTTCTTCAAAACAAATTTGGGTAATAGATGTTTATCTTTGGCACACGAACCATAAAACATTGAATGTGATACTATAAAATAAATTTCGTTTTTATAAAATAATCTAGATTAGATGAAATGGGCTCCTTTTAAAGAACATTTAAATAAAATAACGCTGAAGTGATAAGTAAAATTAATAATAATGTGTTTTCTCATTAAATTTATTTATTTCGTTCTCTCATATAAAATAATATATAATATGTATGTATAATATAAAATAATTAAAACTTAAAATTAAACTTTAAAAACAAAAAATAAGATGCATTTTTGTGGTTGAATATTTCAAATTTTTTACTTGTATGTTTTTCTTTAAATTTATTTGTCATTTTCTGAAAAAAAATTATTTTATGAAGTTAAAAAAGGAAAAACAATTTCTACATAGTTTAAATAAAACTATTAAATTTCTTTTTAATCTTCTTTCTTTTCAAAATAATTTTCGCTAAATATAATTAGTGAAACATTAAAAAAGCAATATTCATTAAAATTAAGAACGATAGCTTATTACCAAAAAATATGAAAATAAAATAATTAATAAATAACCATTTTTAAGTAAACGATCTACACCGCTATGACAAGTTAAATGTTCTGATGTTATTTTAAATGGAATGTCATTTGGATTCTTACAATCTGGGTCTGGTAACAAATTTCCATTTCCTACATCTTCACTTGCTTCTACTGATATATAGTATGGATCACATTTATTAATTTCATAAAAATCATAACATGGATTCCTCAAATCCAATTCAAATGCATTTGTAATGATTTGTTTACAGTCCAAATCATCAGGTTTATCGATTGTTACATTAGATCTTGGATTTTCTCTTCGACGTGTCACACAAACTGTAATAGTTGATGTACCTGCTGGTGATTGAATTTTCAATTTACGATTACCGTTTTCACTAAAGAAATAGTTTGGTATTAATCGATAATATTTTGTAGAACCAGGTGAAACGCATTGCTTTAATGATATTATACCAGTTTCTGAACTATCCCAGGTAACTCCACAACGTGGATTAATAATACGACGAGATACTGAAAGATAAACAGATTTTATTTATTTTTATTTTATAAATTTTTCCCAAATTATACAAAAGATTTTGTCCAATTTTTAATTTTGTCAAATTAGATAATTCAAACTATGAGCCAAAAATATAAATTGCTCCTGCTGAACTAGAAAATTGAAACAATGACAAAAAGGTGCCTAAGTCGCCTTAGCATATCTAGTAAAATTTGGAGAATTCTAGTCAAATTCAAAAGAGTAATACACATTTCAAATTATTTTTATTGCAACGCTTATCACATTTACTTTTAAAAACATAAAAATTGAAAAGTTGTAAAGTGAGTATAATCAAAGAAATATTCATGCAACCTTAATTAAATTTACTTTAAAAATGTCTTTGAAATTTTTGAACTTAATTAACTCGAAACTAACAATTAGGACTAAGGTTAATTTTCCTTCCCCACATGCATATTATATACGTATGTGTTTTTTTTTATGATTAGGAATACTTGAATGTTTAGCAAATTTTTATTTTTGATACGAATACAAAAGAAAAATATGTACGTACATTATTTCTACAATGTAATGCCAGTTTTCGGGTTATGGTACTTCGTGAACATAGAAATATTTTCTAATGCACATAACAATACAATATTTTCATATACTAAGAAAACGGAAGCATTTTTCTCTTGTTAGAACAAATTAATTTTAATTTTCAACAAAAATTTTCGAACATTTAAATACATATTAATTAAAATAAAAAATTTCATTAAATGAAATACGATTTATATTATTATTTACCGTACATTGGAAAAAATCATTGGAAAAAATTTGTTTATCCAAAAATGTTTGGATGGTTTCTTGAATTAAAAATTATATACTATTTTTTAGCTTCTTAAAATTTCAATCAAATCAAAATTAATTGAAAAATACCCTATTTATAAAAAATGATTATATCTTCTTTAATTAGAAAAAGATTATATTTAAAGTGTGGCTTGCAAATTTATATAAATTTAACCATTTTCACTAATTTATTTTAAAAGGAGCTCATTTGATTTTAATTTTACTAAATTTTTATACTTACATTCTTTAATTCTATCAATAATTGGTTTAGCAACTGAAACGGGATCACTTGAACTTTGAGCTGGTATTAAATCCTTTTTTTTATCGATAACAAATCTTTCAAATCGTGCTACAGGTCCTTGTGAAAAAAATAATATTCTAACATCAGGCACAATGTCCCTTAATATTTGCAATCTTTCCCATGCTGAATTTGAATCACCTTCATTAATACCACTAGTATATGGAATAATAAGGCCAACTAAAGAACTTCCACCCGCAGATGAATTACCTTTTTCGTAGTTTAAATAGTCGCTTGTTACATTCAACAGTTTTGTGAAAACTTTAGACAAGCTAATACCTTGACGTCCTAAAATTCAAAAGCATAATATTTCCATATTTAATTCATTAATTTTAAAATTTTAATTTACGTCTTTGATAATCTTCAGCATTCCAAGATTCAAATACAGTCGAAAGGTCAGAGGTTGTTGATGATATATTATTAGCTTCACTAGCATCGAACATTGCTACACTTGATGCTTTTACATTCAAATTAATTTGAGTCAATATGTATCTAAATATTGATTTAAATTTATTAAAGTTTGTTTATACGATTTTGGAATATTTATTTAATTATATTTGTTATGTTATGTCTGCTATTTACCCGACCAAATCTTTAATTTCTTTATAGGGCCAAGCCGTATCAATAAAAATAATTAAATCAGTTGATATTTCAGTGTCAATCAAATTTGGATTTGGTGTACTTGATTCGCATGATACATCATTCAAAGATTCAGCTATAAATATAATAATTTTAAAAGCAAATCGTGCATTAAAACAGGAAAATTTACTTACAAACATATTTTAATAACGCATTTACAGCTAAATCAGAGAGCTGACCGAAGCCATCATCTTTTATTGTGACACGTGCGACGAAATCTTGTAAAAGTTTGGCAAATGCTGCTGTTTGTTTTTTCAGTTCATCTGGTTTTACCATTGCAAAAGACTTTTTGCGATCACATGCTTTTATACCACTATCTAATACACCTTTTTGTGAATAGTACATTTCTAATACTTGACTTAATTTTAAATTTGGAGCTTTGCCTTGCCACTCTTTAATATTTTGTGCTATTATTAAACCATCAATTCCACCACGAATTTCAGCATCAGTCATTTCATATTTTTCCCGTTGGGTTAAGAAATACCACTTTGGTAAAGCGCTACTATTCCAAGCTCCAGGTGCACCAATATTTATGTTATTTGGATTGGGAGCAACTTGACGCAATAAGACTTCTGCTAAATCGCCAGATAGTGTTGAAGCCCATCTATTATCAACATAAAAGTTTTGCTGGTTAGAACGCCTCTTTCCACCCATCAACAAACTGAGTGGTACCTTTTGATTCTGCAAACCAGTTGCAATACCACTTATTACATTTCCCGGAGAAATAGTACCCCAAATAGTTTTAACAACCCCATTTTCAACAGGGCATTCGGATATATCTCCAGCAGCAAAGTTAATTGTATCAACGTGTTCTTTTGTGTCTACATTGGTATCATCGTACTCATCTCCATAATCTTCATTTTCATCCATCCGAAGTTTGTCGCTATTTCTTGGTTCCCTTTCCCATTCATTATCGTCTAAATCTCCAAAAGCAACTTTTTTTAAATATTTTGATTGTTGAATTTCTCTCGGGACTCGAAGTGCTCTATAATTTGCCAACTTATTACATACTTGTCCTTCATCACCTCGTCGATAATAATTTACTGAAGACGACAACATTGAATGTAACGTACAGCGTTCAACAGCTGATAATGTTACATTTGGAAAATTTACAGCATTTCCAGGCAATAATTTTTTCAATATCAAGTGATGTTTACCCCATTGGTATTCTGATGCACTATATGGCAGAACAACACTGCTAGCACTGACATCTTTTTGCTGAACAATACCATCCTGACGAAAACGGTGAAGTAAGCTTACTGATAGCTGAGATATGCTTTCAGTTGATCCTGGAGCGTTTTCAACTTTACGTATTAATTCGATTAATGTCTCAATCGTATGTGGTAATAAATTATCTTTAATTGATAGATACGGATCTAGATAACATTCTATTAAACCTGGTGCAATTTTGCGTTCAGCATTTTCTTGAGCTTTTGAAGAACTGAATAACACTGTTAGTAACACCAAAAATTTTGAACTTGCCCAATACATTTTAAAGTAAACCTAAATTGATACTTTTGAAAATAAAAAAAAAGAATTATGTATTCTAATTTACAATAAAGAAATGTATTTCATTTAATTTAAATTAAATTACAGGGAACCTATATTATAAAATCAGTTTGCAAAAATCAAATGTTAAATAAAATTATAGCATAGTAGACTAATTAATATAAGAACAAAGAGATAATACATTAGTAAACTTCAATATTAGCGTATGTGATTATGCTCGTTATTTGTAGTTCATAAATTTTTCACTTAAATGTTTTTTTGGTCTTTATATGTGAATTGCTACAATGCGGTACATAGAACTGCATAACTTTTTGTTTCTCTTAATTATGAATGAAGCTCGTCTTATTCTATTTTAGGTTCTTTCAATTTTCATATTTTATGCTCTATATTTGAGGAAACTTTTGCTGAATCAATTTTAAATTTGACTTATTCTATATTTTTCCTATTTTTCCTCCTTATTTCACTATTCTTAATATTCTTTCTTGCCATTTGTAAATGCATACATATACATATATATGCCAAATATTTAAATTTAATTTATTATTTAAACAATTTTAATAAAATAAATAAACAAACTAAAAAATATGTTAACCCTGTTTTACATTATTCGTATTAAATGCTTGCTTTTTTATTGATTTAACATAGTTTAGCACCACAAAAAAAATTATTTTAGGATTTATTTGTGTATCCGTGAATTCTTTCCAACTAAAAAAAAAGGCAAGCGAAAGTTGGGACTTTTGCTCTTTAAAAGTCAATTTTCTGAAGCTTATATCTGTTTTAAAGGATCAAAGTTAAATTAAAAATAATTTTTATACATAATTTGTGATAAAAAAGTAAGTTTTTTAATTTTTATTATCATGATTAAACAATATGTTGGGTATATTGACTAAGTATTTTTGATTTTTAGCAATTTGGACAATTATTTGACTTACTGAATGCGGTATTATTAACGTTCTCTCTTGAATATTAAGTTAAAATATAGAAATTATAATCAACTTGAATGTAGAATCATTCGCGATCTACTTTCCCCGATATGTAAAAAATTTTTATTATATATTGTTTTAACAAAAGTTTTCATGAAATTAGGAAACTTCCTGCTAATTGAAGTTATATCTAATAATTTAGTACGTTTTCGAAATTCGGTAAAGAGTTACGTTCATAAACATGACACTTAAACTGAAAGTAAGTCCTATTTTAAATTAAGTACAAATTTTTGATAAGATTTTTACTTATGCACAAATAAATTTTAAAAACAACTGCCTGTGTTAACTCAATTTGGTCTATCTCTGTTGAAATCACATTTAATTATTGATAATCAAATACAGATGAAATTAAAATCCAATTAAAAAATCAAACTTGGGCAAAAACCATTTTCAATATCAGTCAAAAGTGTTCAACAAATATTTTATTAATCCTGATAAATAAATGACAAAATACGATACGAAATAAGTGACAAAATATAAATAAGAATATTTGAAAACTATATGGAGTTAAAAAAAAACTTCCATATTGTAATCTTATTCTTATCTAATCAAATCACATTTTAATATTTATTTTTAAAATTGTTTTCTCGACATTATTCTTTTTCATTGTGTCTAAATGAAATTTATTAAGTTAAATTCAATTATTTACACCTGAAATATTTTTTTCTAAGTAACAACACCTTAAATGAATTGGAGTGCCTACAATTAAACGAATTATATTTTTAATACAAAATAGCTATGTTGGAATTGTAAAAAAAAAACTGATATTTCAGTTCAATATAACCACATAATTGGTTTCTTACTTAAATAAATATATAAGTTAAATTTTACCTAAATTATAAAAAAAAATTACCCCAATGTAATTTATTTACTCTAAATTGACATGATAATTGGGAAAAATTTATTAGAAAAAACTATCTAGATTTAATTTTTAATTATTCGTTTAATATCGAAGCGGAAAAAGTAATTTTTTAATATACCTTACATTTTAGTTCCTATGCAATGAATATGAATAATTAGCTTAATGTTAACTTGTATTATTGATCAACAAAATTTTAACAGCTCTATTACTCTGAAAACTATTTTTATTTAAAATTTAATTAATGAATTAATTAATACTTTTTTCTATACTATAAGAATTTTGTCAACTTGAAACAATTTAATTTATTAGCTAATACAAAAGCCCTTTACATCTCAAATATAAAAAACAAATTTACAATTTAAAGTAAAATTACAGCTACATTTAGAAGAAAAAGAGGAAAAGTGTGCTTTCTTGCGAAAAGGATAAACTTACAATTTTCTTTATTGTGCACATAAAAACAAAAAAATTAAAATTTTTATGCAACTTCTCTACCATTTCAAATTAAATTCAATCATATTAAACTGAAAATCAACAGCGGTAAGAGAATATTTTATATTGTCAATATTGACCTACAGTACAATGTATTAAACTATATAGTCATTTCTTTTTAACATTGACATATGTATGTACATCGGTAATGTTAATTTTCAAATATCGTAATTGCAAAAATTTTTTATGTACAAATTTTTCCTCGCAGCAATTAAAGGTTTCTTTTTTTTAAGTAAACAGTCGTTGGAATCCTCGTATGCAGTAATTTTAAAAGTGTAAATTATTTTTTATTTAATAAACTTTTTTAATATCAAACATAATCCAATATTTTTAAACTATATTTAGTGATAGTGCTTTAAAAAATTTTCAAGCTTTCTAAAGTTTAGCTGCATTTTCTTCACAAAATAAAATTCCACAAATTTCTTAACAAAAAGTATATTTAATCGGAATCTAAACACTTTTTTTTTCGATTTATTATCACAATATTTTGGTGATAAGATATGTAATCACACATATTATTTTATTGAAAATGAATAACTTTTGGATATAACAGGTTAAATTTTTTCAGTAAATTTGATAACAGGTGAAAAAATTAATTTTTCAATATAATTTTCGTTCTTAAATTTTAAATAAAAAAATATAAATAAAATAATAAATTTTTTTCAGTTCAGTTTGATTTTAGTAAATTATTTATATTTCAATAAACCCTGCTCTTTTTTTTTCTCTAAAAGTAAAATTTTTTTCGGCATATCGCCTTTGTTCTATGGTCTTCTCAAATGGCAACCATTATTAAATTTAGCATTATATAATAATCTTTTGAATATTTTGTACTATTTACCGTTAAGTGATTTAAAGTCGTTTATTACTTCTTATGAAAATTTGAAAAAAAAAATTTATTATTTAGAAAATTAATTGTTATATAAAATCCAATATTTTATCATATTTTTAAAATTTAAAAAATTTTAGTTTTTTAGTAATTCTTTATCGTTTTTAACGTTTTCGCTTTTAAATTAAAACTGTCTGACCATACTTACTTAATATTTTATTTTAGTACAAAATCAATGATATGAGCAACTCTAGTATAGAGAGAATCTTTAATCTTATCATTTATTAAGCAGGTTATACTCTCCAATTTACTAAACAATAGATAAGATAACAATAATTATATGAGATATGTATGGCATGCACATAATTAAATAATCTTTGGAAACGCTAAAAAAACGACGAGAAACAACAAGTGAAAGAGGGAATAATTTACAATACATAGATAATTTGAAGAAAATAAGTACAACATTGTTTTTATTTTCGTGATGACTAATAATTTAACAAGTTTTTATTGATTTGATCTATATATGTATATGTATATAATTGGTGGCACATGCTATGACTCATAAATCTCTAATCAAAAAGTTTCTTTCATATGAAAATATAGGTTTAGCACCTTATCCTTATTTAATGAGATTATTATTATAATGTTAGTGTTTGTCCAGTGTAAAAATAAACATAATTGTTATGTACAACCGCTGTTACCTATCCACAATAAACGCATTTTCAAATTCGTAATTATTCTTCATTGACTCATATTTTAAGAAAAATAATTGAAATATAACTTCCGAAGTGATTCAAACCATGGCTTTACAATTTACAGGTGTTGCAGGATAAGTATTTATTAAATTACTTTATGTTCTATTTACACAATATTATTTTAATGTTCTATTGATTTATTTCATTTCTATCAATTTATTGAAATTTGAACTAAATTTTATTGAAATTGACTGATTTTTCTCAGAACCTTACCCTAATGTAATCTTGTAAAGGGTCCTGGATCTTTCTTAAAATGATCATAGGTTTTTAAGTTTTATTTTCCACCTATATTTTATGTTAAAAAAAAATCACTATTTGGTCAGCCATCTATTAGGAAAAAATAGCGTTACTGTCGAAAACTAACTCAGCGGAAAAGAAATTTGATGTACATAATTACATAGAACTCTGCAACCGACCGATAGATGGTACTGTTTGACAAAAAAAAATTTATAATTATTTAGACCTTTTATTTCATTGTGAAAAAATAAACTTATTTGTTTTCTACATATTCTACAAAATTTTTTTTTATTTTGTTTTCATAAGATAATTTAAAAAATTTTGAATTTCAAAAAAATTCAAATATTTATATTTATAGTTCCTTTAGTTCATTTTTGGTAATTATAATTTTATTTTATAAAATTACTCAAATTTAAATTCGCTCATATCCGAAATTAAAAATAATTATTTTAATCACAAACCATATTTATCCATTTTTTTGTGTTGCTCGCATCTAAAATAAAATTATTGAAATATTGTGTAAATTGGTGTATATTTAAATCGGCGCCACCTGACACCATTTTAATATATTTTCCCAGAAATAAGTAAGAAATATTTAATTTTAAAATTTTTTTGTTAGATTCGCTACGTACACCGAAATCTAATTTTTCAGAAACTGAAAATTAAAAAGGTTTTGGGCACAAAAGTTGCAGCTAGCATTTTTTACAGCGGCGCAGCATAACTGAACATTAAAAAGAAATGTCTGCTAAAATTATCCGTTACCTAAGCCCGTTCCTTTTTAGGTTTTTTATACCGGATTTCTTCTATTGTAGAAGTCTGGAATTTTTCTAGCTTTTAGATACTAATAAAAAATTTTTTTGCAACTCCAGCCCCCTCGCATCTTTAGAAAAAAATGTTGAAAATCAAATCATATGAATTGAATAATATGATTTCATTACATATTTATTATTAGTATGTGGTGATGAGTCTTTCTAACAAAAATATTTGCATTTGTGTTTATGTTTTTCATAAATATACCCACACATAAAAACGGCTTTTTATCAAAATTTTTTAAGGGAAATTTTTAGTTTTCAGTTTTTTAAAAAGAATATTGGTTCAAGTCATCAATTATAATTTTAACCTTGGGTTTTTGTACCTACTTAAATATTTTCATATAATTTGTAACTTTCAGTATCAGTACATTTTTGTTAAGCACTGAAAAGTAAAAAATTTCCCATCCAAAAAACTGAAAAGGTGAAAAATAGAAAAATAAAATGTTCAGGTTTTTTTGTATGAATTTCTAAGTCTATATAGTGAGCTTAATCTACAATAATTACCTTAGGCGTCATAAAATCGAATGGTCTTTCATCTGCCACCAATATCTAAGCTTAAAAGTGTTCTTAAATATCTAAAAATGATAGTGCCAAAACTTAAACTTCACGATAAAATTGTTTCTGATATAATGCTCAGATATCTTTTTGGCCATTGGACAGTTCTTTTTTTCGTTTAAATTTTTTTTTTGTTATTTTGGATAAAATCATATAATGTTTATTAGATTTTAAACTTTTAAATTTGCCTGGTATAAAACTTGAAAAAACTTGAAAAATAGAAAGCAGTGACGTCATTTATCGCAAAGAAAAAGAAATTCTAATTTCAAAAAAACAAATAAACAAAAGGGAAAAATTGAAAAAAATTTAAAAAACTTTATAAAACACATAACAAACTCAAATTTCCAAATATTTACCAATACATACATAAGAAGAACATATGTTTTGGCTGCTGAAAGTTTTTAAAACACTAAATTTTACTTTATAAAACTTGAAAAAATTTTAAAAACTAGGAAAATTCCAACGTCATCATTTTAACTCATTTTCTCAAAAAGTACTCGTATTGTACCAAACACTTAGTATGGCAAAACTTTTTAGAGTTTTTTTAAGTTTTATAAACTTTCTTCTAAACATAAACGTCTTTCTGACAGACGTAAAATTTAGCACCGATTTAATACAACTTTAGATTAAGAATTAACCGTCACTACACTTTCACACAAAACACCATTCAGCCCTTTAAAATCAAATAAAAAGATGTAGTGGAATAAATACAAATTTTATTACGCGAAACAATTTACATAAAACAATGTTCCTACAGATGAACAACCATTTATTTTTCTTTTTTTTTTCATTTTTAAACTTCTCAAAACATTTCTGGAATGAAAACATCTTTTTCAAATAGATCCATTTGAAAGTTTCGCCCCCAATATTTTCTTTTTAATGTAAAATTAATAAATACGAGTATTTCATCAGCACCGGCGAAGATTTTAAGCTTTTTAATCTTTTGCAAACAGAAAAGTCTTCCTTTGTGTTGAGCTTTTCATTCTGCACAACGCTAAAAAATTGTTTTTATGTTTGTTTTTTGCTTAAGAAATCTGCATAAATGAAAAGGTAAGTAACTTTATTGATTTATTTCCAATTTATAATGTACAATTGTCAAGTATAGAAGTAAGAGTTTTATTTGTATCGTCCAGTTCTATATATTTTTTTTTGAATAATAAAAATAATTAAAAAAAAAATAAAAAATCTATTTAATTTATTTTTCAATAAGCTAAATGAAAATTTTTCTAAGAAGATATTGAAAATAAGTGAATAAATAAATTATTTTGTAATAAAATGAGTTTGAATAAAAATAATTCATATCGGATTTCTGAAATCTTGGATTATATATTTAATAAAATTTAATTAAAATATTAAAATGAATAAATGTATGTAAATATTATAAATTTATTACTCACCAGGTTCCTTCAAATAAAAGTTTAATTACCTATAACTTAAAAAACTAAGTACAACAAAATGCAATTAATGGTAAGTGTTTATAAACCAAAAAAAAAATATATATATATACATATATATATATGTAAATATACCTGTATTTTGTAAACAATATCAATCAGAGTATACAAACAAATTGGGAGTCCATTTAAAATTTTAGGAATACAATTTATAGCTTTGATTTTAAAATCGATATTTTGAATTTTTTGTTTTTTTCTTTTTTCTTTTTCATTGTTTTAAAACAGTCACCCACCCCTTTGAACGATTTTATAAATACATATTTTTGTTTCAATTCGATGATTATAAAATTATAAAAGTTGTTAAAAAATTTCTGTATATGTATGGAATTTCAATTGTTATATTATGTAGATAGAAATGTGAAAGTAAATGCCCCTCTTTATTTGTTCTTAAAGTTTTGGAAAAAACACACGATACCTACATAAAAAGCAGTAAACAAAACAATTAAATGCAGTTCAAGTTATATATACATATTATAGGTAATTCACTTACATATTTTACGTACAAAGTTAAAAAGAGCAACAAAAGGATCTGAGAAAAAAAACATAAAGTGCAAAATAGAAAGAGATAAAACAATGAATAGTAAAAAAAGAAAAGGATAGAAATATTAAATTAAATATAATAATAAAAAGTAAACTACTTTACATTTTAGTAAATCAGGAAAAAATAATGTTAAATGTCCCCCTCTCAGTTTTCTACACTCATCACAATTTTACTCTTGAAACATCTTCATTATATACACATAAATTTTATGGAATGCCTGGGCAATTTTAAATTTTTTATTTCGATTTTACTATCAATATCATTTATTTAATTACATACATACATATGTACATACATAATAAATTTATAATATTATATAGTCAATTAAAAATATATGTACATATATATATATATATATATATATATACATATTGTATACGTATGTATATAAAAGCAATAAAACATTAAAAATTTTGTATTACACACGCCCCAATTTTTATGGGGAAAAATAGGGGATGATTGTTTATTTATTTTATTAATTTATTTATGACGCATAGTAAAAGTGATGGCTAACAAGCTTTGATACCTGTTTCTACTTTTCAAAAATGTAATATACTCGTATGCATAAAAAAGGTTTTTTAACTTTTTTTCATGCCAAAACTTTCTTATATATAAAAATTTTTATAAAGTTATTCACTTTTGTTGTTATGTAACAGTTTAAAAGCTAAAATATATATGTATATATTCTGTGTTTTTCATTCTTAACCACAATATATCAATTTGACTCTTATATAATAAGCAGATAAAGTTGAAGAAAATAAATTATCACCTTTCTCCTACCGCAATTAAATATTTGATTAAGAATATTTTTACATTTTATTAAGAACATTATTAGGAATATTTTTAAAAGTACTCATATAAGACAAGCTTAATTATTATGAATTATTATGAATGAATTTTATTGCAATTATTCTTTATTTAACTTTTACATACAAGTTAAATAAAGAATAATGAGTCAGGATCTTAATTAATTTTTATGCTATTGTAGTTTCAATAGTTTCATAGTTTAGTGGAACTACACTAAAGTCCATCTAAGCTAAGACATAGAGGGTTTTCTTACAACCAGGCTTCGAAAAAAGAACTACATTGGAAATTAAAGTTCTAAGACGCACACGCTAAACAGAATGAAAATATTTTTTTTTAAGTTTAACGTAATCTGCAAATTCTGAAACTTCCAAATAATTAGTTGTTCGAAAATGACTTAAATGAAATTGTTTCGAAAATTAAAAAAACTTATAAATAAGTCTGAATTTGATAATTTGAAAATAAAAATTTTTAAATTTATAAGAAACCTCATCCGGTAGCGAAAATTTAAACTATATGCCTGCGCGCCATTTCTGAAACTTCTTTAATACGGAATGAGTTTGATAGCTGTGTTTAAAAAAAGCTTATGTAAATTAGAATTAAACAACTATGATTTTCAACTTTCATTAAAACATTTCATCATAGAAATATTTGAGCATTGCAACCATAATTTAATTCCCCAATCCCACTGTCAATCACAATGATCACTGTTTTGACCCATTCAACCAATATATGAAAATAAAAAATTAAAATTTTAAACTGAAATCGAATTAAAAACGTAACAAAACAAAATAACACAAATGTTTTTGAATGTTAACTCCGATTTTTAGTTTTACATTTCCTAGGAATTGGGTTGTCCGTCCACTAATCCGATTCCGTATTAAGAAAACGTCTTCAACTTTTAAAATATAAAGCAAAAAGATTAATAAAAATATATTATTATTCCTTTTAATTGATCCTCTTATTATTTAATTATTCTCATTACAATTTATTTCTGTATTACAGTTAATTTTCCAGATCCCTATTCCATATTCCCCTGCAGGCTAGCATATCTTTTTAATTAATTCCCTTTGACACGATTCCGATTAACACAAATTCCTTATTGTGTTGAACATGCCACTGCTTTCAATTCTACAATAGATGATTAATTTGTCCCAATAACTTTTGAAATTAAAAATAAAACTTAATTTTTTACCTTTTTTCTCAAATTTATTTTTCATTTAATATTCTAATAGGAAATAGAAGAAATCTGAACTGTAAGCTTTTTTAAAGTAACAAAAAAAGGCATATATGTAGATATATTATTTATTTTAGGCAATTTCTTTAGTTTTCTTATTCAACTCTTAAGATATTCTTGTTTTCTCTTAAGCATATGAAACCCTTACAATTACTTTAATTACAAAATAATGATGGTTTATATTAAAAAATTAAAATATGTATAAGGTTTACAAAGAGATAAGAAGGAAAAAGTAATGGCCAATTTTTTCGTTCTCTCTCGTGTATTAGCACAATATATATGTATGTAAGTATGTATAGTATTTCGTAACCTAAATTGTTAAAAAGAAATATGCACAGATTCATTTACTTCTATTTTATAATAAAAATTGTAGTACCCCCACTTCTACTATACTAAAACGTGCTTTATGATATTATATTATAAAAATTTCTCACCTTATTTTTCTATCCATTGTTTTATCAACACATTTATTCTTTTCATGTTCTTGTCTTTCTTCCTTTTTGTTTTTATTCATAAAATCGATACTTTATAGCAAAATTAATATAGATATATACATATTTATCAAATGTGAAAAACACAGCCATAGACAATACAAACATACAAATTAATTTTAACAACTGAATACATATACATTTTCAAATTTTTTTATTTACAAGCATTTAAAATAATAATAAAGTAAATCAAAATTAAGTAACCATTCTTCAAAATTTTGGCGAGGTAAAATTTAATTTTTAATTATTTATTCCAATTTCATTTGGAAAAAGGACTACCCAAATTAAACAAAAATATCTGAATACCTCAAATGAGCAAAGATTTTAATGCTCCTGAATAAAAGCAAAAATTTAGTTTAATTAAATTTGTATGTTATATTATTATAACTTATAATATAACATACCTAAGAGAACGAATAGCACCATTACACTATTTTGAAAGCTAAATTTAACACAATATCCCACTGAAAAATAAATTAATCAAAAGATTGTAGTTTTCAAGAGGCAAATCCTTTGAAAAAAGGAAAAAATTTTTGTATACATCGCAATTATATTTGCAACAGCTTAAAATATAGAAAATTTTCTTCACAATATTATTTTGCATACAAGATAGTTTTCATGTTTTCAAAATAATGTGTTTGTAATTTTAAAAACATTATGACTGTCTCTCACTTGAACAAAAAATATACACAGCCTTACGAAAGGACCAAATTTTGAAACTTAATATTACTTTAGTTTCCGAAGTCGGAACAAGATTTTTATACTATACTTAAACTCTATGGAATAAAATAAAGAACACAATACTTAAATATCAGTAAATAAAAATATTTTTGCAAGTATATTGTTAGTAAGAAGTTTCTTGTGCTTGAATTGAAAACATAAAAAGATCTGGGTAACGAGATTTAAAATTAAATTTATTAACAACTTTATTTAAAATGTCAGAAGGGATTCCATAAACTGAAAAATAACACGCCTTTTACCTAATTCCAGTAAGTCAATTATTTTAAACCTGTGCTCATAAAGAAGAAAGATGATGGGGTCTTTCCAAAGACTAGGACGTAGTGTAAACCTCACAAAAAATTTTTGAATAAACTCAATCCGGCAAATATATACTGCGAAACATATATTGAAGATTATGCCAAACAAGGCACGAGTCGAAGTATTTTAAAACATAGAAATAATTAAACTTCTTAAACCAGCGTTTAATGAATCCCAATATGAAGCTTGTTTTACCTATAATATTATTATTGTAGTTTATAAATGACAATTCCTTATGAAAACAAACTTGTAGGTCCATACATATCGACCCTATATTGATCACCTATATAGATTCCAATTATTTTTAGGTTATATTACTTGTGCAACTTTGTTAATGTACCTTTTTTTGATGATTTTTATGTCGTCAACATAAATCAACAGAAAAATTTGATACCTTTTAGCACACATTTTCACACAAAACTGAAAAAAAATACATTTATTATTTTTACTTACATATTTTTTTACTTACATATATTATATCATTAAATATTTTATTTTATAAATTACCTCAATATATATATGCCCGTTAAGCCCATTATAACTCGGACTACTATCTTATTTATGCTGTATGAAAACCGGCTTAAAGGCCGTAATATATGTGTATACTATTAAGTTTATTTTATGTAAAAAAAAGTTTGCTATCTCTTCAAGTTATTACAACTACTGTCCTGGTATATATAAGGCCACTAGAGAGAGCAACTCCAATTTCCCTTTTATGATTTTTGAAAAAATGTATAAAGTTTATATGAAGAAAAAACAAGTAAAAACGTTTTGTTGAAACGAATTATACCCTGCCCTGCACCTTGAGAATCTGAGTATGAAAACTTGATTTTGAAATATTTAGAATTAGCTTTAAGGGTTGTATGGCAGTTTCCACAAAACTTTCACGGATCAGACCTTTC